GCCTGGATGAAATTTCGCCCAGGCGGTTATGTGATAGCTAAGGTCACCAAACTGTTCATGACTCTTCCTTATATACAAGCAAAGTCGAGAGAGGGTGGAAGACGGAAGGTGGCTGAAATTTAACCGAATTTCGTTTAACTTATTTGAGTGATCTTTAGAGCATGCATCTATTACTACGTTTTCGCACTGGTCTGGTTGTGTTACACAAAAGTGGAGGCGATTGAGGAATGAGATAAAAACCTCCACACATTATTCGCTGGACTATCGTGCTTTATCGTGGACGGGTGTACCCTCGATAGATGAAACTTCAACCCGAAATCTAAGCATTTTTAGGTCCAAAATGAAGTGTAGATAGAGTTGAACCGGGATTTGTAAAAAAACAATGAATTTCTCGACGGGATCTGTAAAAGAACTAATGGATTTTGAGTGCTCCATCATGAGAGTGTGGGTGTAGGTATTATGTCTATCTCTCACCTGTACCCACATCCGCCGCACCAACCCATCCACTCACACACCCACAGCCACCGCAGCCTCCCACACCCTCAAGATGCTCATAGTTCGTCTATGGCTATCCTGTGCAATACCTAGAATTCCTCAAGAGCTTTCATATACGGTACGTATAGCTGACATGTAGGTATGGCTTTGTCTGTGAGAGTAGGATTTGGAGTACATATACACCCAAACCACCATCCAAATCGACATTCACCCTCCAAAACTTCCGCATTTTATCATAATCTTACAGATTTCGTTTTCGTCTGTTTTTATTTCTAAAAAAGGTCTACTTATTGACAGACTTTTATTTCTGATTCATTCTGTAAAATATAATATTGTTTCATCTTCAGAGCCGTACTTGGATTACACGCAAGTTAATAAACTTTTATAATCTTTCACGAAGAAAATATATATGTTAAGTTGTCTCCAATTACAAAATATCATAAATCTTGAAAAAATAAAAAAACAAAGAAGTTTTCTGACTACAAACTATTCACGAAGTTCGATGTTTGTCGTCGGTCGAATAAAAATGATATTATCAACCCGATCAGCTATAGACCGAATTGCATTATTTGTCTTTTTACTGATTTTTAATTATCAATTTTATAATGTGCTTGTAACTACAGTGCAAATCCATTCATAAAGTATCAACTACTATCATGATATTCCGATTGACAAGAAAATCCGCAATGAATGTACTTTTTCAATGATCATCTCTTACATGCTGTTGTACATATATTTTGAAAAAAACGGAATGTACGAGGCGCACTTTGTAAAAAACATTTTACACAATATGATATCATATTTAAATCTATGTGTGTTTTCGTTATCTTTATTTGCAAAGTTCACATGTGCTTTAAACCGTTATTTCTGAGATATAATAAATCTGATCCGAAATGCGTTGCATAAATTTCTAAAGATTCTCAAAGTTCAGCATGAAAAATTTCGTACAATCCTAGTTATTTACTACTGATTTCTCTAAAATTTAATAAAAGATTTTTTTTCGTTTCTGTAACTCTATACTTGATTGAAAACAACATTCGGATTGACGATATTAAAGATGAAGAATACTTAAATATACTTGGCGAATGACGCTGATGTAATTTTATCTATCTTCCAAATCTGTCAATATACTTAAAGAGATGACGCTGCAATTTTTAACGTCCTTCCAAATCTGTCAATACACTTAAGAAGATGACGATGCACTTTTTTCATGCTTTAAAATTTGTCGATGTATTGACAAACCAAGCTGTATATATAAATGCGTCAAAAGTAATTTGAGTGAATATATTTCATACAATACAAAAACGCAAAACAGGATAAATTTATCTTTGCCTGATATTTTAACGCAACATGATGGTACCAACGCATTCTATCTTGTATTTTTGCATCATCATTGCAGTTGCCAAATTTTTTGTCTGTGCATCCTCATCGATTGACAGAATCGCTGCGACGCAGACTTTTACTTTCAGTTCTGAATTTATACATATCAAAGCCATCGGTGACAAACCAACTCTCTTGTTTCTTCATGGCTTTCCGTCATCATTTCATTCATGGCGTCATCAAACTAAATATTTTTCAGATCAAGGCTACGGTTGTCTGGTGCCCAATTTAATGGGCTATGGTAAAACTTCTTCTCCTGCGAACGAGACTGAATACGATAGCAAATCAATAGTCGATCATCTGATTGCTCTTCTTTATCATGTAAACTTAGGCAATTCCAAAGTCTTCGTCATAGGACATGACTGGGGTGCACGAACGGCCAGTCGATTTGTTTTATACCATCCTGAACGAACATTAGGCGCTGTGCTACTCAGCGTTGCATATAGTCCGCCTGGCCAATTTAATCTGAACGTGGTTCTTAACCAGTCACTTCTAGTTTATAACTATACAAGCATTGGTTACTGGGAATTCTTCCAAGCTAATGATGCAGCACGAATTATTGAAGAAAAATTGGATAGCTTTATCGACCTTATTTTTGCGAACGATTCAATGCTTGCAAGAACAGATTTTGCTCCAGTTGGTAAAGTACGAGCATGGCTAAGCAGTGGAAGACGAACTGATCGGGCTTCGTACATGACACAAGAAGACTATCAAACAGTTTACGACTATCTCAATAAACAAATGCAACCAAAGTTGAACTGGTTCAAAGCAATCATTGCCAACGTCGATTGGGAGTATGAAAAGACTCTTAATGCAACAGTGCAACGACCTGTACTCTTTATTGAAGGCACCAGAGATTATATTGGCATTATTGGTGCCAGTGAAAGACAAAAGCAATATATCTCTGACTTGAAAATAGTTAAGCTGGATACTGGCCATTGGGTGATGGAAGAAAAACCAGAAGAGGTCAATCGAGAGATCGATCAATGGATCAAAGAAGTTATATCTAACAAGTCTGCTGCATCTTCAGTTTTATTGGCTCCCTATTTTTGTTTTCTTACTGTCTACTTTTTGTTCAGTATCTCAACAAATTCTTTTTAGCAACATTCTTTTGTTGGTTCAATTAATAAATATATAAAAAGAAATACCTTGTTTTGTACAAAAGAGGCAGAAGCAATGAAGGGTGGATGCGAGTAGAGGTTTTGTATGAATATCTTTTGTTTGCTTACGCTCACGATCTTAAGATGCCCTTGTGAAGCATATGCTACAAAGTAGAAAAAAGCACTTTTTGATGCCAAATAAAGATCTTATATCCTCATAAATAATTGTAAGATGAAACTAAGGATTCATATATACAAATTACACACCAAATCTCTGGTGTCTATGTCAGTCATCTGAAACATTTAGACAGCTTCGCTTGTTAGTCCAAACAAGAGGTTACTGAATTTTTATATTTATGTGATGTAAGAAAAATGAGAGTATACGATTAGAAATTTAGATAAGACATGCAACATATTTATTTGCTATTCTTCGGTCTTTTTAGTGTTGGTATAGCTTTGTTATCTGCTTTGTTACATTGATATTAGAAGAGAAAGTTTACTTTACCATTTTCACTGTTACTTGTTTGTCGATTACAACTATGTTAAATGTAATATGTCGACGCGTATTGCCTTATGTATCACATCATTGTCGTAGATTTAATTCAACAAAATGGAATTCATCGATTCCTGGTGGAGATTCAGAATTGCGTGGTGATGGTGCTATTCGACGAAAACATCCACTTGGTTCTACTATTGAACAAACTTATGCTGGCGTTCTATCATTTCTTCGCCGAAATTATACGCGTGATTTGAGTAATGTTGACGTTGCCGTTACTGGAATTCCTCTTGATTTAGCGACCACTTATAGACCAGGTGCAAGATTCGGACCGAAAGGCATTCGAGAAGCATCTGCACAAGTAGCAAAACGAAAATCCTACCCTGAGGGAATCGATGTATTTGCAGATCTAGCTGTTGTTGACTACGGTGATTGTTGGCTCGATTTTGGTCAACCTCATACAATACCACTTGCTATTGAAGCCCACGCGAGAGAAATTATTGATCAAAATGTCTTTCTTCTCTCGCTCGGTAATACGTTCTTTGAAGAAAAAAAAATTTCAATAAATTTATTTATAACTTAGGTGGTGATCACTACTCAACATATCCATTATTAAAAGCACATGTTTCCCGGCATGGCAAACCATTGTCTCTCATTCAATTTGATGCACATTGTGATACATGGCCAAGTGACACACCACACAGTCTCAATCATGGTTCCATGTTCTATTATGCTGTACGCGAAGGTCTTATTGATCCACAAACATCAATACAAATTGGTATTCGTACATTTAATGATGATTTTATGGGTGTAAAAATTCTTGATGCTGAATGGGTACATCAACATTCTATCGATGATGTAGTTGATGAAATTAAGAATCGAGTCGGAAATAATGCAACTTATTTAACATTTGATATCGATTGTTTGGATCCATCATGTGCTCCTGGTACGGGTACTCCAGTATGTGGAGGTCTAACAATGGCACAATCAATTGCTATTCTTCGTCGACTTCGTTCAATTAATTATGTTGGAATGGATATTGTTGAAGTATCTCCAGCATATGATCATTCTAATATAACGAGTCTAGCGGCAGCTACTATTGGCTTTCGACTTTTATGTTTACTTCGGGATAAAAAAATGATTGATAAATCATTTCCATTTGGAAATTATGAAGATAAAAAATAAATAAATATTACTGATTTTATAATATAACATGATCAATGTGATCAATTGAGGAGACAAGCGTGAATATTGTGTGTATTCAGTCACACCCTGATGTCTATCCTGCATAGTCCATCGAAACAGTAACACAGAATGAATTGCTACCATTATCAGTTTTTTTTGTAAATTCATCAGCATATAGTATATGAATGAGATTTCACATCTTACAGATAACTTTTTAGACGGTTTTTCTGAGCAATTGAAAAAAAGTATCCAAAATCTTGTGTAGATATTTTAAAACTTTTTACAAACAGACAACAGTAGAAAAAAATAGAATCAAATAAATGATACACGAACAAAAAATATATTTAAGTGTGAGTATGACTTCTTTGAGTATTTGGAAATACTTGATTTGTATGTATACCACAAATAAGTTCTTTGAGAGAAACGATCAACTGCTTTCGAAATCTTTTTGATAAACAATAACAATAAAATGAACTCTAAAAAAAGAAATATACGTTTTGAAAGTAAGAAAAAGACAATTTACTGCATATGGGCCGTACGAATAAGTAGAAGCAAATGAAGCAATTAGTTGTTCCACTGCTCGTCTATAAGTATCTTTAACTACATTTGATGTAACAATTAAGTAAATTGACCAGGCTGTATATGGACCATTGAAGACTAATACAGCAAATATTTGAAATAATGCCATATTAATCGTTTGTTTTGTTAGAGAAGAAAGTGTTCTCGTTACACCGATAGTTTTCATATGTCGGACGGTGAGAAATCCAAAAATAGAGATCACAATAATTGGAATAGTAGTGAAAATACCGAGATAGACAAAATAGCTGCGATACTGGACAAATATTGTATTTGTTGTGATACACATGGGAGTACCACCTACGATAACAAGATCTTGAAAGATGAAATAGGGTATCTCATGAAGAAACCAAAAACAAAGAGTACTAATTATTAAATATGGTGCTATTCGAATATTACTCTTTTGTCGTACAGCAACTGATGGAGAGGAACACATGAATGCATCAATAGATTGTAAGCAAATCAAAGTATATGTACTTTCATCAGTAATATCGGTAAAACCTAAGCGAGTTTTACACCATATTCGATTCATTAAAGTAAAATCTATTCGGAAACCTGTAGCAAGAATTCGAGTAGTAAGACCAGTAAGAAGAACATAGAGATCAAGAAAAGTACGAACAAACATGTAAAGTGAACATGCATTGATTTTATAATTTCCAAGTTTGATGAAGAAAATTATATTAAGAATATTTCCTAATACACCACCGATCAATAGAATAAACCCTAAAATAAGACTTGGATATCGAAAAGCACTTTGAATTTGAAGAATTGCTAATGTAATGCTTGTATTATTGTTAGACGACATCGTCCCGTTCTTCGGAAATGCTTTTATCTAATGACTTAAAATGTTCGTGTCAAAAGATTTTCTTATTATTATACCAAATAGATAAAAAAAGTAGCTTTTTCTTTTGACTAGCAGTCAGCTGAATTAATCTTATGAGAAAAAAAAAGAATGACGTACAATTGTTTTTCTATTAAAGATTACAAAGACTAGAAGCACATATTTTTAAATAATTAAATTGGAATTTACAATGTAGCATTCAAGCCAGTGTTAAGATTTTTAATCTTTAAATAAAATGCAATTCTTCTAACATATTGGGCTAAAAAATATTTTATCAAACAGGTGAATAGCATATTAGATTTAACAATCGATAATTTTGACATGTCATAAAGTGATCTTCTTTCATTTTTTCCTCTGATCAAATTCACATATATATATATCACAACTCAAAGCGACTGCATCCATTAGTAACAGAAAATAGTAATGAATGACGTAGTTTGTATGGCTGGTAAAATTATTATAAACATAATTCTTTATCTATTATAAGAACATTTACGTACGTACTTTAATCGAAATCATACTCACAAAAATCAGTGTCTTATCAGTCGTTTTGAATTATGAATTACTTGAGCTGACATAATCCACATTATTACCTTGAATAGAAGTTCTATTAAATTGTATTATTTATATATCTTGTAAAAAGTTTACGTATGCTTATCATATCCTGAAATAAGTACTATCTTATTTTAATGTTTTTTAGTATTTCTTAGACCTTAACAATGAAGATCAACATAAAAATAGAATAATTATTTAGCAATAAGAAAATAACAATATATTATTTTTGTGATCTATGTTGATAAATATCATAATAAAACTCTATTGTCTTATTTCTATTGTTGCTCTTTTATGCATAGGATAAAACATTTGTCAACTACTTGTCATTCATATAACTTGTTTCATTAACTAATTATATTCTTTCTTAGTGTCAAAAACACTTTCAATAATATTATTTATTTTATTTATATTCATCATTACACCTTTACAAACGCTATTATATCAGAAAGTTGCACTATCCAGTATCACTATGCTATTGAATTCCATTCGAATAAAACAAAAATATGATCATTATAACAAGATACAACTAAATATTCTCATAAATATAATAGTATACCCATATAAATATTTTTTGCCACAAAATGCGTCTGAAACGCTAAAGGTGAACGCGCTTGAACTTATCCCCAGTGAAACAAGCGAAGCGTTTAAACGCAATTTATTTCCGAAATCCGTACGAATGCATTCGTAATTTGACTTGCGTGTGAAACGCTAAAGGTAAACACGTCTGAAAGTATTCCCAGTAAAACAAACGAAGCGCTTAAAACTCCGATTTATGATGGAAACGCGTCCCCGGTAAAATATTCCAAGCGTCTGAACGCGTTTCATATAAAATTTTGAAAAATATATGATAACCTATCTCAGATTTGAACTGAATCGCCATCAACAACACTCTTCGTTAGTCTTAGCCTACTTGAGTGGTGACGATCAGAAATCGTTCATATACACCACCGAGCTATATTAGCTCCAAATGTTTTCTCATTCAAAATTTTAGTACTCATGAAGCTGTAATATGTAGAAATTAATGTTTCATATCACTTAATATGAACAGTATTTATAATTATCTATTTAATATAAAGTTGTTCTTATAATATTATAAAAATAATGTCAATAAAATTTATTATAATTATGAAAAAAAAAACATTAATTCAATAAAAGAATAGTTAATAGAAGTAGAATAATATATTTATCATCTATTATTCTTCTGAGTTATCATCAAAACTTAAATCATCTAAATTAACTGTATCGTTTATCGTTCCATCACCATCAATACTTGAACAACATGAAATAGCATAATTTAAACGTTCATACATAATTTCACTTGTCGAATAGGCAGGTAAGTCAATCGTAAAAAAACATGTATGTGATCCTAAAATTCATTCAATAAAATTAAAGATATAGTATTGTATGATTTCACTTACGTGGCAGTATTTTATCAACATTTTCATCTTCATATAGATCCAATTTAGTAATGGTAAACTTCGTATGAAAATCTTCATCTCGAGTTGGTAATGTACTTCTACCCCAAACAAATATTAAAAATAATTTTCTTTGTTCATCCGTAAACATTTCATTAAGTACTGTCCAGAATAATTCCATTGTCGATGAATCTTGACTATATTCACCACCATAATAAGTATTTCTTTTTAAAATTTCTATATCAATTCGTCCTTTTCCACATACTGCTTCTTCAAGTTCAGTAGGAGTAAATAAATTTAAATAATAAGATGGTATAATACTATATAATCCATCACGAATTAAATTTATTTGTCGATTAAATTCATTGAGACGATATTGTCGATATAACGAACAATATTTTTTAAAATTCGATGCTGTTATAGAAATTTCTGAACCATTTGGAATAAGTTCATAACTTTGTCCAGATGAACTAACAACATCAAATCGTAATTCACTCATAATACTACTAAATAATGTTTCCATATCGTTATCATTATCGTTATCCATTGATTTTATTTGTTCAATATTTTTTTCCATTTCATTAATCATTGTAAAACTTTGTGCATCAATTGCTTCAATATCTTCAATAGTAATTTGTTCTTTTAATAATTGTTTCCATAATAGTATTGGAAATTTTAAATCTAAATAATGTTTTTTACGTATTGCCATACCCATTAATTGTCCAATAAAACGATATTGTCTTTTAAATTTTTTTGGTATGGATTTATTTGGTGGAAATACATTTGGAATCCAACAATCACGATTTAAACCACTATTTGTACGTCCATTTGGACATAAAATAAATAATGATAATCTTGTTGAACATATATCTAAACAAATACGTGTTATACTATCACGATAAGGTCCACCTGCATCAGTACTATGCATTCCAATATATTGTGCTTGCCATAATTGTTCATTTGATCGTCGAAATATTATATGAGCATTAGCATGTAATTGTTGATAGGCTTGATAAAAAAATGTACTTTCACTTTTTTCAATATCCGTACTTGCTTTAACAGTATCGAAATTAACAGTTTGATAATCAGAACTATAAGTACCTTCGGTTTTCTCTAGAGATTCATGAAATAATTGTAATTTTGTTGATGATAATAGATAAAGTTTTATTGTTCGAATATAATCCGTTAGAGGACTTTGTCCTTGTGATAAACTAAAATCAACAATTGCAAGACTTTTTTCAACGAATTTATTTAATAGATAAATAAATTTTGCTCGATTTTGAATAGAATCAGCAGGAATGTTTGATAATAATATATAATTCTTATAAAATATTGCATTTGGTTCAGATTCAGTTGGAAGACTTTCAATAAAACTAGAGAATGAATTATCATTTAATAATGAATTATTATTCATGAAATTAATTAATTCTTGATCAATAAGAGGATTAAAAATTTGATTCGATTTTATAAAATCATCTTGATTTAACTGATAATTATCACCTAAAATATTTTTTGATTGTGAAAGAAATATTTCAGGTAATGGTATTTGTTTTGTTGGGTCATTCCAAGCAATAATAACATCAACTGTTGTAAATAAATTTTGAATATTTTCTGGTAATTTCATTTGAAATTCTTTTATTTGACTATTATCTTGTTTCTTCAATAATATAAATATAAAATCTAATAACGAAATTTCAAGTTTCTTTTTCGAATAACTACTTATTGATAGTGTAGTCGATGATGATAATTCAATTAAAAATTGACAAAAAAATTGTTGAATTTGATTATTTAATTTAATAGATTCACTTGTTTGTAATAATCTAGAAGAATATAAATATTATAGAATTCTGAGAAAACAATAGCTCGATGACTTACGTAGTAAATAAATGAAGAATAGATATTTTAGCTTGATTTGTTGAAACTATTAAGAATAGATTAAAAATCAAATTAATTAACTGTTTCGGAAATAAAATTGAAATAATTAAATCTATTTGATGTTGTTTTATAATTGATTTATCAGTTATTAATTCCACAAAATGATCAAGAATTTTGAAAATAAAATTTAAATTTAATTGTTGTTGATCACCACTAGAATTTGATTCTAATAAAGATGGTTTAAGTAAAAATTTAATTGAATGAATAATAAAATCTTTTTGTAAATGATATAATAATGGTGCTTGATTTTCTAAATCATTCTTATCAGTATGTTCAAGTAATTGTTTGATTTCAGTTTTAAGAATTGAATTAATTAATATATGTATTCGATTAAATTTCTCATTTTTATTTATTTCCGAATAATCTAATAATTTTAATAATGATATAAGAAATGTATAATTACCAAATTTTTCTAATGGAAATAATAATGATGTACTATCATATGACCATACTTTAAGCATATTTAGAATGGTATTACGTGCATAAATTATTGTTAATCCATGTTCACAAGCAATTCGTGATTGTAAAAATTGTTTTGATGAAATATTTTTATGTGAATAATCAATTGATTCATGAGGTTTTTTTCTTGCTTGTTTCTTTTGTTCAATATCAATTAATTGATAAATATTATCTTCATCTTCTGTTACCGATGTTTTATCACGAAGCCATTCATTAAAATTACTACGAATATCTAAATGTTGAACAGATTGTAAAAACCAATTTGGATTTAATTTATCTTTTGATTCAATTATATTTTCATCAGATGATTGCTGTAAAGACATCGAATGAGAAAGGATATATTGAGCAATATTTTTTATTTGTTCATCGGTATTCAATTCGATATTTTTTAAAATTTCCGAATCAATCGATGGATCTAATTTTGTTAAAATATTCATATAACGTATTCGTATATTTTCCTGATCTTGTTTTATAAAATTAGATTTTTGTTCACGTAAAATTGTATTAATTGTTGAAATATTTATTGTTTTATTGTCGTCGATTACCGATTGTATCCATGATTTTTTATAACCCATTGCCATTAAACTTAATCCAATAATTGAAGTAGGTACTGCAAGTAATGTTGATGATTGTAATTGATCAATTGATACTGCACGATTTAAATAAGTAATTGATTTTAATGATATTCGAAGTATTTCTTCATTTGTAGTATTTCCTGTAAAATCGCTTTCTCTAAATAATCTAATTCGATTTCTTTTAAGTTTTATATATTGATCATCACTGTTTTTCTTATCAATTTCTAATTTATTATTTACATAGATTTGAAGAGATTCTGGACGACCAATAATCGATAAACGAAAATATTCATTTCGAATAATAGATGAATGACTTTCATGCTTTGTTCCATTTTCATCGAAACAAAGTTTACCATCAGATGTTAAAAGAATATCATTTTTAGAATTTAATGTTATTAATGCTAGTCTTTCATCTTTTAATGGCCAATTTGGAATACAAAGATTGAATACAAATGTAAATTTCGACCATACATCATCGGATTTATTTAGAACAAGATAAGATCGATTTCCATATAATTCAACAGTTGAATAATCTTCATTTGTTTTAAAATATTTTGATTCATCCATATCTGCTTGTTTTTTCTTTTTTTCCCAAAGTTCGTCTGTACATGATGATTCAATAAATGGAAGAAGTAATTCATCGGAAAATTCTTGTTGGTTTTTAGAAAATGTTATTATATTTACTTGTTTTCGATAGTCTTTTAATCTCTTAAAATCACTAACAATATAGAATAGACTATAGTTGAATAGACGACGAATTTGTTCTTCAGATAGAGCATATTTCCATATTGCTAAATTTTTTATCTCACAAGCAGTTTTTGGTAAAATATGTATATTTAAGTTCTTAATTGTTTCCAATGAAAATGCATCGGGATATGTTCGACATTTATTGTTAATATAAACTTTTATTTGTCGTTTTTTTGCTAAGAAAATAATGACACATCGTAATTTCTCATCGATTTTTCTACAAATAATTTCCATTGAATCTAATGTAAATAAATTAATAATATCAAGTTTTTCATCGGTTGAAGTTAGTTGAACATCAAAACTAATTGTTAATGATGATGCTTCTGTATTATCTACAGATAAATCGAAACCATCGCTATCATCCGGTAGAATAACAGATTGATTATTTAAAGAAAATTTTGTTTCAAGATGATGTTCATTAACAAAATCACGTAGAATATTAATATCAGATTTCGTTTGTCTAGTAAGACAAGATTCCGTTTGATCATCACCAATAAGATATGCACTAAAAGGATAATCAACAGGTAAATTTTCTTTTGGAAGAGATTTAGGTAATAATATAGGTTTATAACCATTTGGTAATGGACAATCTTTCATATCTTCTGGACTTAATATTAATTCACAACATCTTGATACTTCATTTTGCATACTAATAGCTGGATAATATGTTGTCGTTGCTCCATTTGGTAATAAATCACATTTTGTTGATGAATATTTAACACATGTTTTATGTTGAAAAGCTATACCTAAAAGTTTTCCATTCAACCAATATTTAATATTAGTATTTTCTCCATCAATTTCGATACCACAACCACAAACATCATTTTCATTCCAACGAACATCATCAAATTGACTATAAAATCCTTGAGCATTGAATAAAACACCACGAGAACCATCATATGACCATGAATACATATCATCACCTACTCCACATCCACTAGTAGGTGTAAATCCATTTGTTGCCCATCCAATTTGTAAAAGTCCAGCTTGTGGTAATCGAACACAATAATACCATTTTCCTTCACTTAATTGTAAATTATTAATAATAAATGTTGGAAATGATACTGTTGTATTCTCTCCATTCGGAACTATTCGTCCATGAAATCTATGTTTAATACCACATTCTTCAGTTACACTAACATCAGCTGTATTACGTGGAAATGGTACAATAGTTATTTCATCAATTCCAATTCGTCCTTCTTTAAAATATTCCATTTCTCCTTCAAATACATACGGTCTCCATCCATTGTATGCTGTCCAAATATTCGTATCTAATTGATCTTGATTCATTTTCTCAACACTCCATATACTATATAATAAATCATCTTGATCATTTATTGATATTGAATGTTGTTGTTGTTGTTCTACTAAATCTTGTTGTTCATTTTCAACTATTTTTTTAAATCTTTCACATGTATCTAAACTCAAACAATATTGTTGTAAATGTTGTTTATTAAATAAACGTATATCCGTCGGTTGTTGATTTGATATACAAAGTTGTGCAATAATCGATGCATATGGTTTTTCCATGAAAATTTCAATTAATTTCTTGTTATTCAATATATGATATAGAACAGAAATACAATGACGTTTTATTTGTAATAACATTATGGATTCATTTGTTGATGTATCAATTTGAATAAAATATCCTAGTAGATCAAGTATTGAATCAAATGTATTTGGTAAATCAGATGGTGGAATATCGATTTTAAGTTGTAGTTTATTTATAGAAACGGATTCTGTTTGATTTGTTTGTAAATATTGAATTAAATAAGGTGTTTCTGTATCATTAATATCAATAATTAATGCTAAGGAAGATTCATCATTTAATTTATCATTTGTTTCATTTATAACCACGGAACCTAATCGATATGGTTCAATATATCCACCGAGAATATTTAATGATGCTAGAAGTTTATTCATTTGATTTAAGTCATTCCCTTCAATTGATTCGATGTTTAAATATGATACAATAGTATTAAATATAATTTCTATTGCTATCGTTTTCCATGAAGATTCAATAGACATTATTGTACGATACATATAAATTAATTCTGCAATAATTTCTTGTGATAGAATATTTTCACCAATTGAATTTAAAGTATCATGTAAGAAAATTTCAATAAGATTTTTTGCTGTTTCATCCGCGTTATCGGATATTGATGGTATTAAATAACGTAGAATTTTTATTGTAAGTAAACGAGTAATATTAGCTTGATGATGATTGTAAATATAAATTAATTGTTCAAGAAAAGGAATAGTTGCACAAACGGATAGAACATATTTATAAAAATGCATACAACGAAGTAGAAGAACTAAATATTGATTTATATAGAGATTAATATCTGATTGATCTGTTTGAAGAAACCATTTAATAGATATATCTTTTAAAGAATTATTAATTTGTATTTGGGAATCAGTCGATGAAATATTTTTTAATTCATTTAAAATTAATGTATTAAAAAGAAATCTTTGTTGTTGTTGTAAAAGTTGATTTGGTGTATCATGTAATTTTTCAATTTCAATATTTTCACATAATTTCATAAGAAATAATCGAAACCAATTAAATGCGTTAAATTTCAATCCAATCGATGTAGTATTATCATTGGAATTATTAGCTAAACTAACAAATGATTGAAATAATATTTCAATTATTTGATGATTATATATATGACAAATGTCTGTTGATTCATAAGATAAATTAAGTAAATAAAAAATAGTTTGTACGAAATGATTTGATTGTAAAGTAAATGATAAAACAAGTTTAATAATTGAATAATAAGTCTTACTAATATCGTCTCGTAATTGATTATTTGATGCTAATATATCATTAAAATATGACCATTCTAAATCATTTTTTCTCATATATGGTAAATAAATTGATAGAGTTTTAAGACATTGATCATTATTATTGAGTTGAAGAATATTTTGAATAAATACTTTAATAAATCGATATGTAGTTAATCGAATTATAGCTCGTTCATGTTGTCGACAAAGACATTTTTCAAGTTCATCAATTTCTAATTGTTTTTCTTCGCTTGTTATTGATGCTGATATTTTATATAAATCTCCATAGATAAAATTATCAATTGTTCGATTTAATAAACTATCATAATCAAGTTTTTGTTCGATACTATGTTTTTTTTCTAACATAAATCGTTTAAATCGTATACAAGCTTGAAATAAATGTCGAAGTAATTTAAAAACATATTTTGCTTTTGACCAATGTGAATGTTGCCGTTGAAAATGATTTGCTTTTTTT